GAAGCAACTGCCATGTGATTGGTTGATTAGATAATTGCATTAATGAGAAATTGAACAGGTGTTCCTAATAATCCTTTAGGTGAGTGTATTTGAATTTAATGAAGAACAGAGGTGTAGCATTGCTATAATGGCTGGTATATGCATATATACTGACTTAAATTCATATTTCATACTGGAAGAAAACATAAAAAAGTGGATCTAAAAAGGCAAGGATGGAGAAAAATAATTTTAAAGCAAATGTATAAAATTTAATTTTAATATTTTTACAAGTTCTCAGCATGGTTCAATAATCAATAAGATTTAATGAAATGATGAAATACATTTAATTTTTTTTTTAGTATGTGTAACTTTCTCGCTTCCATCCTTGAATTAATTTATGTATACGGTCACATCTGTTCTGGCCTTCTTAGGGCTCAGTTTTGGATGGACTTGTTTGGGGATCTCCGAGATGCAGGACATTTTAATGGTAGCGATGAACACCAAAGTCTGCTCAGATTCTGCTTCAGCAATATTCTGCAAAAAGACCTGGATGAATGTACAGAACTCTGGAACAAGCACAGAATTCGGCAGTCAAGACTAGCATCGTGTCCAGGGGGAGTATCGGATGAACTCTACTGCTTATCACACAGGTATACAAGGATGACTGAAGATGCTTGATAGAATCAAGAAATATTAATTTGCTACAATATTGAAAACAATCTTTTGTGCCTCTGTATCAAATTCAATACTTCCCCTAAATCTTACTATTCACCTGCCATGTTCTAATGTAGGTAAAATGATCAGGGAAAAATTGCTAATCAAACTCTTCATGACAGTTGATCTAAGAGTAAGGGTAAATGGGTATAAAATAGGAACTCGATACATTTAACACTAATTGTTATTTTTCCTCTAGATTTGGATCAAGGGATTGTGGATTTCCCATTGGAGATGAACTACAGGCTTTTTCTGTGACCAGTATGACAATTAACCCCTGTGGCAATCCAGACATGCAAGAATATTTAGAATTGGTTGTAGAAGAAAATGCACTACAATGGCCAGGAGACTGGGAGACAGCTACAGACCTATACATTACTCTTAAAGGAATTGCATGACTATAGATGTTATTTTTATTCAAGTTAAATCAAATGCTTCAGAACAGAAAAGGAAGTCACTCAGATATCACTGGAACAACTCTGTATACAGTACAATATTTGAAGAGTTTTTAACTCTAATAAAATCAGAAACTTGCATTGATTTGAAAATCTTATTTACACACGAACTCCTACAAGTCATTGATAATTTTTATATTTCAAATGCATCCAAAGTCTGGGGAATTCTGAATCCCAAAGTCCATGCAGGCCTTAAAAAGATTGTAGGAATCCAGAAGGGGCAATTTTAGAGTATTCACACAAGTGTTAGCCATTGGAAATGGTGAGCTTGGTATATGTGGTGCTGGTGTTATTCCAGCAGGTGGAATTGTCATCAATCTCGTGGCAAACATCAACACCTCTTCTAGGGAAACAGCTGTTTGTTTTTCTGTAGAGGAAAAAAACTTGCATAAAGTCAGGCTCCATGACAAAATCTATTAAATATTAAAATTTATAATTTTAAATGACCAACCTTCACAGTCAAGAAGGTAGTCTGCCCAGAAGGACAATATTCTGCTTTCCTCCTGTCTTCTGTTGCTTCCTGGGGGGCTGAGGTCTGGCTTAAACAGATCTTCAACATCTGAGGCGGTAAGTTTCTTGTTGGAGTGGAACAAAATGGAAGACAGCACATTTGGATGCTGCTGCAATGCCGTCAAGAACTGCAGGGTTGCAAGTCCATCTTTGAATCTAAAGACAAATCAAAGAATTGTTGCAAAATAAATGCATAAAAGCTTTGATAACATATATTATACGTAGCAGGTTCAGATTACCTTTCAATAACTCCATGGTTTCTGTGGATGACATACCATTTCAGGTACTCCTGTATGACTGCATCCTTCTCTGCAAAGGTTTTAATGTGCCTAAAACATCCAGCAGTTTGGAACAGACTGCAAAGAAGTTGCATTTTGAATCTTTAAAAGAAAAAAAATAAAGTCACAAAACATTAAACACCCATATCCAACTTCATAAACTTGACACGTCATCTTAAATTACTACCAAAACAATAAAACTTGTTTCTTTTCTGTAATTACTTTTCCTACCTCACGTAGAACTTTCCCTATCTCTTCATCTGTAATATCATCTACAGTTGGACTGAAAC